GTCTAAGATAGTATCAAGGTATTTAAAACAAACATGTTTATATAAATGAAGGCCTAACCTTTGGATATGTATGGCTTTGTTCCAATGAATAATGTAGCTTACATCACTTATGACTTTAGAAAGATTCGTTTGTACAGCTCTTGCAGCTAAGAGTCAGAAAACCCGAGCTCTTGTAGCTATAGTCAGAAAACCCGAGCTCTTGCAGCTAAGAGTCAGAAAACCCGAGCTCTAACAGCTAAGAGTCAGAAACCCCGAGCTCTTGCAGCTAAGAGTCAGATACCCCGAGCTCTTGCAGCTAAGAGTCAGAGAAACTCTAACCGTTGACGTAGTTCCTGTATGTAATTAAAACTTCCCTGGTTTCTTTGTTTTCACGTTGCAAGTCTAGAGATAACGTGAAAGTCAATTCAAATGATTGATTTTTAAATGAGGACATTGTATTGATGGTATTAGGTTGAGACACGGAGCATGCCTATTTCCTGAGATGTCAATCAATGATTCACTAACACACTAATAACCCTCATTTTACGATTCAGGCATTAAATTCATTAAAGTATTCAAGAAAAAAAAACTTTCTTTACAAGAGTATTGAGAAGAAAAGGATGTGAGTTTGAAATCTGCTCTTCAAGATAAAACAAAAGCAAACAATAGTCACCACATTTTATGAGATCTATGGTACGTAGTTATTGTCATTTATAGTAAAAACATGCAAAAATATAAAAGAAAAATTCTTCTTAAAAAACAAGCTGATATTGAGTGAAGGAGAGCACCGTTTAACCTTAAAGCCCGCCGGGGTCTTGGCCCTGTGTAGTTAGCCTTACCACTTCAATAAAAAATTTCAAACAAAATTATAGTTACCCATTTCTGTGCTCCATTACTAAAGTAAACAGCAGATTCGGTTTTTGACCTACATTGTTTTAAAATTTTGTTTTTTGTTTTGAATACCAAAAATAGTGCTTAGCGCTGAAAAGCAAAAAGTTTTTATTATGTATTTTTTTTTTTAGAAAATTAACCCCCAAAAAATTTAGCTTTCAGAAGTTCAAAAGTAAAAGTTGAACAATATCATAAAATTGGATTTTCAATGCTTTTTAGTTTTTTTAGATCTAAAAGTGATAGAAAGAAAGATGGAGGCTCGTTATAAAAGGTATTAATTTTGAGCATGTCAGTGACACATGAACCCCAGTGAGTGTGTTTTTTTTTAGTGTAGCATATGGCAAAGCAGTTTGTTCACCCACATGTTACGCACCCAACATAAAAACAAACAAACATGAACTTGTCGCCAGTCTCTAAAAGTCACTTCAGTTAGTTTGTCTGGACCAGTACCTTAGAGCTTTGTTTTCTTGATCTGAAACTGAAGTCAGCAGTATGCGAACGATTCCTTGTGTTTTCCTATGTGTATTATATGTGGCTGTGTCCTGGGCAGGTAAGAAATCTTATACACAAGGCATCCATATAGGCAAGGCCAGATTTACGACATTACATTCTTGGAGGCGTCCTCCATTTTAAAAATATATAATTTTGAACAAAATATGCGATTAAAACATACGAAAACAATGGAAAGGAAATACAATGAGCAATTATTCTATTTATTTTAAATCAATTAGGCAATGACGAAGGTCGAAGTTCAAAGTTTTAAACTCTCATACTCTATCACGTATTACATACATGAGCTGCAGTTTGATACTACTTAACGTGAGCAGCGATTTGCGAGACTGGGCGGGAACTTTTGCAAGTCTAAAACTTACTCATGTTCAGTGACCTTCAACTTCACCTATCCTTTAGTCTGTTAAACCGTTGGGGCGCCACACAAGATTTATTTATCTTTCTCAATCACTCTATTTCTTTCGCCTTGGATAAAACTTCGTTCAATTGCTATAACGTTAAAAGTAGCTTTTAGGATTGGTAGCCATTAACCTTGTCGTTTAGTTGCCATAACATTAAAAGTGGCTGTTAGGATTGGTAGTCATTAACCTTGTCGTTCAGTTGCCATAACATTAAAAGTGGCTGTTAGGATTGGTAGCCATTAACCTTGACGTTCAGTTGCTATAACATTAAAAGTAGCTTTTAGGATTGGTAGCCATCGACCTTGTCGTTCAGTCGCTGTAACATTAAAAGTAGCTTTTAGGATTGGTAGCCATCGACCTTGTCGTTCAGTTGCTATAACATTAAAAGTAGCTTTTAGGATTGGTAGCCTTTAACCTTGTCGTCCCCTTAAAAAAGTTGTTGCCTTTTAGGATTGGCTAAGAAAAAGACCAAAGCGCATTGAGAAAGTAAATGCATAAAATTTCGCTTAACAAATACAATTGATAAAAATATTTCTAATCGAACAGATTTATTCTTGTTAGTATAGATCTATTACAAATGTACATGACTGTTCCAAATTAATTGATACAATTACACTTTTTTTCAATTTTTTCTCATTTTACCTTTTCTTTTATAGCTACTATCGATATCAAGCCCAATGTTATCACAGTTCCTGTAACAAGAAATCTGGAGATCGTCTGCTCATTGAAACGTGTGAATACGCCAGAGTTGTCAGCCCTGTTTTCCTTGACCTTGTTGCAGTCCAACACTATGGACGAACCAAAGTTCACTTCCCTAGCGTCCGTCAACACGTTAGATAACAAAATCAGCACATTCTCGTTGGACGAATCAGCCACTGTGGTTGGACTCATCAACAACAGCGGAGAGTCTTTTCTTCGACTCACATGGACTAATCCAATGTCTGAGAAATCTGGCCTCTATAGATGCAGCTTTAATGGCGTCGGTGTCTTGGGGAATCCACTGACTTTAACCAGCACAGGAGCAGTTGTTGTCTCAGTAACTGACCATGACAGTCTTACCGACAAAATGACAGCTTTTGAAAATTCGTCGAAGGCGTTGAAGGCTAAATTTGACATTTTGAGTGACTATACCAATAATTTGCATACTAATTATAATTCGCTGATTTCCAGATTGTCGCGATCTAGAGACGCGGCATTCTATTCTACTTCAAGTTTTAATGGCAGTCGATATTACCTACCTAGAGACGTAGACGTCTTGCAGGTCACCTGGGCGCAAGCTACATGTGAATTGTACGGCGGACACCTGGCAGAAATTGACTCCAATGAAGAGTTCCATTTCGTTCGTAACTTCTTGGTCAGTAAACATTTATTCGACGTGGTGGTCACAGGGGCGAATGACGAGGAGAAAGAAGGAACTTGGATTTACAATCGTAACAAGGCGCCACTCAAGGTTTTTAACTGGGCGACTACCGAGCCAAACAGTGGTCGTCTCGCTAACTGTCAATGCTTTTGGAAAGGGGGCAACTGGTACATGGCGGACGCTCGTTGTGTCTATTTCAACAACAAACCAAACGATGGCTATGTGTACAGCTATCTGTGTGAAGTGCCAGAGTCTAGTACAGACGTGTAAAGTAGTTGCAAAATCATTTCGAATTGAGTTGCCAAATTATACTAAAATGTAACATTTTTAATTAAACATCATGGCAACTAAATGTGAACAGTTTTAAATTATTTCATACCGGGTTATAAAGGAAAATGGTGATAATGTTAATGTGAAGAATCGTGTATGTAGTTTAAAAAAAAGAAAGAAGTAAAATATAAAAGATGCTTACAAAAAATAAAGTTTATTTTGAGCCAAATTGCATCAATTATTTTGAATAATTATTTAATCAATGTTAAATGACGCAAAATGTATCCATAAACTTGCAATTTCCATCCTCTACACTAAAGAGTTCTATAATCTACTAGGTATGTATGCGTGCGTTTATTGAGCTGTGCTGTAACGTCTAAAAAATTAATTACTTTGAAGGGAGGTAATATTAATAATCGTGTTTCAACACCGTTAGAGTTTTTATGCTTCGACTCCCTTCTGCAATAGCAAAAGCTTATACGGAACCAAATTAATTGACTACTATAAGTTTGTTTTCGAGTCCAAAGATTAATGAAGAATACAGTATTTCCCGTGGCTACGCAACTGACTACTATTAATTAACTAATTGGTCTTTTTTTTAAAAATAAAAGCTTCAACTTGAAGTGAGAAAAATAACGTGAGAAAGACAGATGGAGTGAGTTGATAGTTAATATAGATACTGTAAAAAAGCCAACATAGATTTATGCGATTATTTCTATTTATTTATTATTGTTGTTTTTCAATATTGTTAATTACTACCCCCCACAGTTTAACATGAAATATCGAAATAGAAGTTTGAAGCAAAAGTTTAATGCCAGTGCACATGCTGTACATTGACATTTAAATAATCACTATTCTTACAAAGCTTATACTAACTCACTCCGTCTGTCTGTCTGGTAAAAAATTTGAACACGTTATTTCTCCAACACCCATTCTCAGATCAAAGTGAAACTTAACACAATTATTTATTGTACATAACAATGGAGGAATCAATTCACAAATTTAACCAATTACTGGTAATTAATTATTTGGTTTAAAATCAGCAAAGGGGAATAGATACTACTTATTGAGAGATGGGGCTATATGTGTGGAGTTATTACCCTTTTAACATTTTTACACTTTTTTCTTCCACTTTCTATTCTGGGATCAAGTTGAAAATTTGCTTTATTATCCATAGTCATTGACAAAAACATGAATCAATATAAACATGTACCAAATAGTTGATCAATTAGTCTTTATTATTTGGGTGGAGGCCGTAAAAATCCCAAAATTCTAAATCCCAGTCTTCACTGAATTTCGAACCCAGGACATCAGGAAACCGAGAGCTTAACCACTCAGACACCTCTTTAGATAAACTTAGAGTTATATCTTGTTTGCAGGCCTTTCGGCATTTCTTGTTCGTCATCGATGGTGGATGCATCAGAAGTGTTATGTTGGCAAGTGAAATGTCCAAAGAAAATACAAAACTTTTAGGCCTACGTTTTGTCCCTAGTCTGTTGGAGTGTCTCTTCTGTTACGATATTATTTTGAACGGATACTTTGTTGTTAACAACAAAACTTTGAAATGAACAAAGCACACAACAAATCAAAGAAAAGCCATTCTGAGTACTTTATTTACTAAATGCACTAAAAATAATTCCACAAATCTAAACCACAAACAGAATTATAAAATTATCTTTCTTAAGCCAAAATATTAATAGGAATTATACAGAGCACACATGGGCTCTATATAATCTTATCAAATTAACTACTTTTCTTTTTTGAAAACGAAACCATTTAATGTAGTTACACTATGCCAGATTGAACGTATGCAATTTTATAAACTTAAGTATGCCTATATTTAGAATGCTGACATTATATGTATATGTGTGTATAATCGCATGTAGAATAGTCTGGTCTAGATTTATCTTAACTAGTTTAGTTTATTTAGACCTTGTAGTGGTCAAAGATTTATGGTACATGATAATTAATAGTGATGGGAACTAAACTAATTTTTTTTAGTTAAACTAAAAAAAAGTAATTAAACTTTTAGTTAATCAATTAGTTAAACTAAACTAAGAAACTTTAGTTAAACTTTTACTAACTAGTTTGACCTTTTTTAAGGACGAAACAGCCAAACATGAAAAATATAAAGCACAACCAATCTCTTTAGCAAAATGTAATAAACATTTATTTGTGCACATGAAAAAAGATTTAAATGTCTTTATGGGATAGATGTATAGCTTAATAGAATGATACTATTTTTATAGAAAGAAATTAGAAGTAATTGTCCAAGTTCTAATATAAGTTACCTTTAGAAGTAGGCCTAATGATAAAACTGCATGTTGACTCTCTAACTAACTCTAGATTCTAGAATATTCTGGATCTTATATCTTCTACAAATGAAATGATCAGAAATATAATCTGGATCTAGAATTAGATCTAGCTGCTAGATCAAATAATTAATATTTTAATCTAAAAATAATCTAAGAAATACTAGTTACTACTACTACTAGATCTAAAATCTAGATAGAGTCTAGTAGATATCTTAGTAACTCTAGATCTAGAGATTTTAGATTATTATAATTATGACAATAAGATTATAATTAGATATGGGTATTTGTTTGTTTGTTCTACATGTTTCAGATGTTTCTTCAGAGTTGAAGATAGTTTACTTCCTAGTCCAAACCCGCAGGACGACGGGGGATGGGTGCGGGCAGGGTTTGAACCCTCGACAAATCCAAACGACAGTCCATCGCGCAAACCGCACGACCAGGCAGCCACTCTAGTAGAAAATACTAGATCTAGATCTAATAGATCTAGATAGTAAATATAAGTATAATTATAATGATGTAGATGTAGATCTAGTCTAGATTTAGTTAATTTAGTATTAGATCTAGCATAGTGACTATTATAGTTAGTATTATATAGTCATTATAGATCTATCATCTATGCAGCTTAGGTCTTAGTATAATAAGTAATCTAGATATATCTAGAATTGACTATAGATCTAATACTTACTAATTGTAGCTAGTAATAGACTAATACTAATAGACTAGACGTCACTAGACTCTAACTCTAGACTGACTAGACTATCTAGTAAAAAGTTTTAAAAAGAGTCGACATTTCTTTTAGATCTATAGTAAAGCAAAATTCTTTGCCTGCAGCTATACAGGAACACACTGGTGTTTAAGGTTTGGTTTGGGCACATCGGCACAATTAATAAAAAGCAGCAAAATGTAGATCTATAGAAGTAAGGAATTATCAGGATTTATCAAGCAGCGAAACTTGCTAGAAATATAATGAACACACTTATTTTTCACGCCTTTCAAATACCTTGAATTGGCGGGACTAGCGAGCATTATAAGTTAAAGGTCAAAAGGCTTTCTAGTGACCTGTGCACCCTCTAGTTAATTCTTCCCTCTATTGTTCGATATATGTATTCTCCAAATTAGATAGATCTAAATATTTATTGGTATGTATGTTAGAACAGTTTGTAAAATTTGTAATTGAATTTTTTAGTTTGTAACTAAAAAAAAAATAATTAAACTAGGATTTTAACTAAACTTTTTTTAAAAATTAAACTTTGGCCTTAACTAATTTTTTATACTTAAACTAAAAGTTGGCAACTTTTTAGTTAACTTTTGCCATCACTACAAATTAACATTCATAGTAAAAATGAGCAAAGTAAAAATACTTTTTTAAAAAACAACAGATCATAATTGAGTGAATGATCACCGTTAAATCGCTGACAATCTATCAACATTGTATTGTTATCTCCCCTTTTTTTTTTTTTTTTTTTTTTTTATTGATTCGTGTTTTATTCAATGAATAATTGTACACAGTTTCTACTTGATCCTAGAATAAGAAGGCTGAAATAAAAGTGTACAAGAATCCACCCAAAGATACATAGAGTTAATATCAGCTTTGTAAAAAAAAAAAAGGCAGTCCTTGTACATTTGAGATGGGGAGAGGTCTTATCTCATCAAATGTTTGGATTATACTTAAAATTATAATTTTAAAAAATAATGTATATATAAAGAGCTAGATTTAGTATTAGCTGCTAAACTTGGTCCGAACACGTGACTCTAATGCACAGAGTAACTTCTAGTATCAGTTCTAACACATCTACAGACATAACTTTTATGAACATTTTCGTGAGACAATCAATCAAAATAAATGTGATGTAAAAATGATACTTGAATCCAAGTGTCACTGATCACATACACAATAAGAAAATAGTAAGGTTTAACATTTAAAAGTTTATGAACATGTTCTATTACAAATATCATACACAAAAGTGATTTAAGTTGTATTTTTTATACAAGCCCAATGCCAACAGAAAGTATAATATAACTTATGATTGTTTATACCCTTAAGTACTTTGATATCAAGCTTAGCTTATCTTTTCATTTCCCTTCAAGTGACATTGATTGTTATAAAAGAAATAAGATGCAGAGAAGATCCAGAGATCATACACTAAGCTCAGTGGTAACCAGAAATCATGCATTAAGCTTTTTGGTAACCAGAAATCATGCATTAAGCTCAGAGGTAACCAGAGTTCATGAATTAAGCTCAGTGGTAAGCTTGGATTCTATTTTTAGACAAGCTAAAACACTACTATGAAAAACAAATGAATTATGGGACATAGTCAATGAGTTAAAATATCCAAAAGTATACATTTACACATTGCAAGGTAGATGTATTTCAAACTATACAATCTTTTCTTGAGAATCTTTAGCGAGGTGTGGCATAGATTAAAACTCCATTCTCTGGTTGCATAGTGACGTAGGGTACTCTTCGAACAACGTGACTGTCATCTAATGTAATTTTGAAACTGAAATAAAAAAGAAACAAAAATGTTTTGGTAAGATAGCAACAAAATATAAAAGCAATCATGAGAGTAAGTGTAAATTACAAAAAGCCTTTTTGGCATATATTAAAGAGATCCTTTGCTTATCAATGCACCAAGGCCTAGAGCTCATGATTATAATTAACAGAAGCATTAGTGTAAAAAAAAAAGAAAAGAAAAACTGTAAAAATGTTCTTATCAGACAGAATTCTATAACTCAGTTTAGTAAAGTTCCCCCTTTTCAGACCTTGCGATCTATAGGGCAGTTTATGTTAAGGTCATGCCAATGGCTAATGAGCAGGGTGTCATGAGGCCAGCACAACGATCAACAGCATTTACTTTCCTCAACAAAAGTTGGGTAACATTAGAGTTGGATGGACTAAAAAACTGAAAATTCAAAATACAGTCTTCACCAAGATTTGGACCCAGCCAAGACCCCAGGCTTTGAAGCCAAGTGCTTAACTACTTGGCCACTGCGTAAAATACTTCTTAAAGATTTTTTTATTACGTGTCAAGTCTAACAATTCAGAAATCAGTCTTTCCACAGTAAAAAACAAGATTACAAAAAGGGACTTTGTGTTTTCACAACAAAGGAATTATTCTGATATTTATATTGTCCAAAGTAATAAAAACTCAAAGATTCATTTGGTGTTGCCTTTAAGTTAATAACAAACTAATAACCTATTATTGATCAAGAGATTTTTTAGACTTTTGGAAAGACAACTACCGTACATGTATAATATGTCAGAAGAACGGTTTTAGATAATCTTTTGGCATTGTTTTGTAACTGGAAAATAAAACTATCATATATCAAACTAGTGCTTTGGCAATGTCTGCTTGATGTCCCTGAGCAGTTATCAGCAGAGCTATTGACATTTTGTGAAATTCAAATGGAGACAAAGCATCTCAGAAGTATGGTTGTCAAAATCTAGTACAAAAAGGTAATGTTAAAACCAATCCTGGCCTTCAGTGGTGCTCTATTGTATAAGAGAAAGGTATAGAATTGTTTACACTGAAGTATGTGCTTTACTGTTTTGTGGCCCAACAGGCCCACTGGGCACCTGACTTGAATGCTCATATAGGTGGTTCAACTATACAAATGACCAGCAGGGGATAATTAAAGTGAGGCTTATGAATAAATACAAATATTCTATTTTGCTCAGTGTGTTTATATATACATAAATCCAAACTTAAACAGACCCCATTTTCTTCAAAATATCACAATTTAAAATGTTTTCTAAGGCTTTGTGAACCCAGGTGTAGACTTACTATGGCCCTAAGCCATATTTGTGTTATAGTCCCTTTTATTCAACATAAAGCATTTTATTTCTTTGCTTTTTCTTTAAATTTTTTTTTTTGAGACGCGGGCCCTGAGTTAAGTTAAATTCAGCACTGAGTGCTGGATACATCTATGAGGATGTCTCTGTAGACACAATTTTCAAAAGATTCACCAGTGTTCTCAGGTCTTAACAGAGTCTACTAAGTTTTGCTAATTTATACTGTTTCAATTTTGAAGTGTAGTTATCTCCCTTTCCCAACACAAGGTTCTATAAATACTCACTTCTTTATTAATCTGCTAATAGTCGTTTTCATTTCATTAAGAGCAAAGTTTTGACCAATACAGTTCCTGGGGATATAGATAGTAAAGAAATGTATATAGACTATAGATACAAGTTGTTTAAGTACTTAGCTAATGCTCATGAAGATGTTCTAATTCTTTATGTAAAGCCTATTAACTTCCTTTAATATACAGATACTGAAAAAGGACATTAACGATACATCAATATATGGCATTTTTCAGTCGCAAAGCTACCATGGATCATATTATAGAAATGAGATGAGTGCCTGGGCATTAACTATGGTTCAAATTATGTCAAAAAGCAGTCTCCCCTCTCCACACAGCTGATGTATCCAAAGAAACGGCAAGTGCTGATACACTTGGGGGTCAGCTGCATTGAAGTCTCTGCCAGGTGTAGCACTGAGTGCTGCAAACTGCCTAAGGGTCACCAGCTCCTGATTTTTCCCCAGGTTGATTCCCAAAGCCTTTCCAATGATTGGGTATAACCGCAGTTCAGTTTCCCATCTCCTAGGAGTGTAGCCAGCTATGGCTAATAAACTCCTCCTGCCCAAAGCTTACTTGTTAGGCGCCCTTCTGTTATTGAGAACAGTCCCACCTGACTCAATATCTGAGCCACACGTGAAGGTCAGGAGTTGGACTGGTTCTCAGAGACTTTTTGAGACACACACCATTAGAAAGCATTTTATTGGTAGTGGATTGCTTATAGCTATTACCACTTTCTGCAATGACAACCTATTAAAACCACTGTAATACATGTAATACAGCGTAATTCAAACATTTTGAAGCACTCACCCATAAAAAAAATTTTCTTCAATTCAATAGGCCTACTTCCATTCCTTTGTTTATGCCAAACTAAATTAAGTACACCAATTATGTTTTTGCAGATAAGCCAGGTATGCCATAAAGGGTCGTCAGTTATTCTTAACTATTATTATGCAAAGTACCCTTTAATTAAATGATCACAGCTAGCTCTCCAACAGTTAAACCAGTTATTCTCCTTTAGATAGTGTAGATCCCCTTCTTAAGTTATGCCAGACACCTTTCTTAAACTACATTAAGTACAAGTACCCTTCTTAAGGTATGCCAGATACCTTTCATAAACTATGGTAAGTACCCTTCTTAACATATGCTATTTGCCTTAGCTAATTAATGCCAAGTGCCTTGAATTAGAAACATAGACAATTAAAGTAATGATTAAGTACTGTTTTTCTTATATAACCCCTTTCATTATGCTTGGTTATTTCATTGCTGAACTTATTCAGTTAAGCATCGTGTTTAGGCCTACAAGTAATAGTTATTCATTAGCAAAACATTGTAATATCAAAACTTACCTTGGCCCTGCAGAAAACGGCACAAACTGGAATGGGTCAATTGTTTTCAGATTGTCCGGATGAAATCTCTCTGGTTTAAACTGTTCGGGTTCTTCCCAGAGATGTGGGTTGTGGTGAAGTAAGAACAACTGAATTGTTAATCTCGTGCCTGGCCACAAAGTGTGAAAATATTCATTTGTATTTTGATTTTCTAATTTATGAAAAAAGTATTCTATTTATTATTTAACTTTGATGGCTGCTGATACCAATAAAACAGCATTGAAAAAGTGAAGTGCAACAATTCAAATAAGTCTTATACTTGTGTCCATTTAAAGTAGCCTTATATTTTGTTTTTTTAATTAAAAGTAGCCTTATACTTGTTTTTTTTTCATTTAAAGTAGCCTTATACTTGGTTTTACTGTTTTAAAGAAGCATTATACTTGGTTTTTCCAATTTTAAGAAACCTTAAATTTGGATTTTATTATTGTTCATATAAAAGGGTGAAAAGAAAATCTTAATTGTCCCTCAGTGGACAATGGTTATGCTTGCCATGGATGTGGCAAAATATATAGGGGCTGCATAGCCACGGGAAATATTGCATTCCTCATAAATTTTTAAACTCCAAGACAAGCCTTATTGTATAATAGGAATGTTGAGTCTTCCTTACCTCTCTTACTCTGATATCAAACATCTCTTTCAAAGTCTATATCACTCTCCATAAAATTTGCTAAGTTAAAACTTCAAAATTTATAATGCTGTAACTTACAGACTAGAACTTAAGCTAAAACACAATGAGGCTATTCCCTACCTGCTGGTATGGTAAGCCCATGAATAGTGTAGTCCTCTGTTGTTCTTCTTTCAATACCTGGAACTCCCCCATGTAGTCGTAATGATTCTTTGATGCACATAGTGGTGAACTCCAACTTCTGAAGGTCATTCCTGGGAGTACAATTTTTTTAATCAATATTTTTCTATATTTATGAATAAAATAGACCTACTTATAAAACTTTTAATTTAAGGCTTTTTTTCTATAAGAAGTGAAAATAAATGTGTGAAATATCTAAGAGCTTCTGTGTCAATTTAATTTTATATTTCTGTCTATTAAGTTTTCTAAAATTAGTAACAAGATAAAATAATTACTTTTCTTTAATTTTCTCACTTGAAGACAATTCCTTATTATGTACAGAATAATTGTACAGTTCTGTTTCTAACCTATCCAGATGATTGCTTATGTCAAGTACACCAGTTGTGGGGGCAGAGTGGTAAAACTCTTGGCTTCCAAAAGTAGAGGGGGTTGGTCATTGAGCAAGCTAGATGACACCCTTTTAACATTTGGCTATTGAATCAGAGGGCTTTTGCATCATTTGCCCTTTACATTGTAAGGTCTGAAAGGAAAATTTACTTCCTTTTTTAATATACCAGTATGTCAGTTTATAGTTTATTCCTATTCATGTGGGTTAATGAGAATTTCATATATGTAGTAACCACTGGTACTCCAGAAACTGCCTTTTAAAGTATTTCATAGAGTCTACTAACCTACCATTCAATATATTCTCTGCCTTCCAGAACATTTATAACTTCCTGGTAGACTTTCTCTTGGTATTCTGGGTGTCCAGCTAATGTGTACAATATCCAGGTCATACTACTAGCTGTGGTGTCGTGACCTGAAAATAGAATAAATTCTTTAAAACCTTTTAAAATCTATTCTAGAAAAATACATTTGAAATCATACAACAAGCAAAATATACAAAACATTATTTTTAAAAATAAGCAAAGGGAAAAATCTTCA